GTGTGGTTCTGCTGCTGAGAGTGGTGTCTGATTTTAATCTTGCACAGACCACATCCACTGCCTTATCATAGCCATGTGATGTGAGTATCAGTCACATGGAGGCAGGACTCAAAAGCCTGAATTTTGCCTGAAACTCTCAGACTGAAGAAGTCTCTTGGAGGAGAGACGAAACGTTTTCATTAGAGAAGAACCCGTCCAGAAGACCTATACAATTTTTTTCTTTTTGATTTTTTACCTGGATTACTGAGATGCATCAGGACATGTCTACTTAATCTTCAACTGGAAGGAGACAAAGATGCAGATTAAGTGATAATCCACCCAAATCCGTGTAAAATGGTCAGAGAGGGTGGTTTTTGTCCAGGGAAAATACCCTAGGCCATTTGAGAGACATAGTTACTCAGTTTATGGTTTTATCCTAGTGAATTAATGATCCAAGTGCCATACAGCAAATGTAAAATGGATTTTCTGATTGTTTTTTCTAAAAATAAACATCATTTTGTTTTTATTTGCTTGTGGTTCGGTGAATCCTGGTTGGATTGTGATGAAACTTAGTTTTGGAATCTGTGAAGTTTCTGCTTTCAGACATGTTTGTTGTGTGAAGCCCCCGGGTGAACCGCCGAGAGAGGTTCTTCTGCAAATGCTCTTAAGTGGCTAGTGGGTTAGCTGGTGGTTAGCAAAGCTAACTTTTTGACTAGCTGTGCCCACAACTGATTGTTAATGATTATCAGCTACTACCACAGCAGATTTTATCTCAACATCTGTAAATATTGCCTTGCCAAAAGTAATCAGCTGTAAATTTATATATTTTGATTACTTTCAGGAAGTTAACTAAAATCAATTTAATGTTTTAGGATAAATTTTGCTAGCAGAAAAAAAATCAGCAAAACAAAGATCTTGTGCAATGAGTACCACTTGTGTTGTGAATGACTCTCAAATACAGGCACACTAAAATTTACATCAATATCTGTAACATTGACAGAATTGTAGTTATTCTGGTTTTTTAAAGTCAGTTGGCTGTTGCAGCCTTGTTGGGTTAGCTTCAAAAGTTTATTAGTTGTACAAGTACACCCAGTGCATATGTTCAGAATATTTCATTAAAATTTGTCACATGGTTTATGGGATATTTTCTGACAGACACAAGCAAAACCAACAGAGTAATATTAGGTAGAAAATTGAATTCACCCTCCTAACTGCAAGCTGGTTATTTTGGATGCACTGCCTACAATATGCCACTAGAGGGCACACGCAGTGTTTTGTCCACTTTATTGCAACCCTGTGAAAAACGTTAGGCGCTGAAAACAGAAATGAAGACTATTTACTCAAATGAGTAAGGAGATGGAGTCAAATAAAACAGGACATTCTGTGTCTTCAACTCTGTCAGGTCGTTTGGTTCCCAAAGTTGGGCTTGGGACCCAATGATGGGTCATGAAGCACCTTGGATAATCTCCAGAAATCAATTTAAAGGGTATGAAATAATTGCTGATGTAATATTTTCCATATAATTATTACAAAAACACAAAATAAGTAAAAATAAGTATTTATATCTGTGTACAAGCTGTTTAGATTGTCAAAAAGCCTGTGTTTTTAGGGTTATTAACAGAGTTCATGTACTCAGACCAGTAATWTTTGGGGTCACAAGTTTTTGCCTTGGACATTTTGTGGGTCAGATGACGAAAAGTTTGGGAACCACTGGTCTAAAGTACCTCATAAATCACTAGACTGATTTAATGAAACTTTCATTAAACAATCGTATCTTCATCTACATTCAATTCAGGATTCACCCCAATGGCTACATCAGCCAACTGTCACTAGGAAACACAAAAATGGCTATAACTCTAACACTTCCTATTTAGTGACTGGATTACCTCTTGAAGTTCTGCAGAAGCCTGATCCATTCATTCAAATCAGGTGTGTTGAAGCAAGGAAACTTTTAAAACATAGAGCAAAGTGAGCCTCAAGGAACAGAATTAGACACCTCTGCTTTAAAAACTTTGTTTTAACCATTGGCGTCCACCCTGTTTTGTCTGTTGGCAAAATATTTTATAAGCTACAGGCCCGATTTGAATGAATCCCTCAGAATGCAATCTATTAATGTAGTTCCACAACGGATTACATCCCAATTTATGAAAGCTACCAGAGTTAATCAGCATTAACTGAGACAGAAATGTCTATGACTCAGACAGTTTCATCCATCCATCCATTTTCTTCTGCCTATCCGGGGTCGGGTCGCGGGGGCAGCAGCTTCAGAAGGGAGGCCCAGACCTCCCTTTCCCCAGCCACTTCTTCCAGCTCCTCCGGGGGAACKCCAAGGCGTTCCCAGGCCAGCCGAGWGACATAGTCCCTCCAGCGTGTCCTGGGTCTTCCTCGGGGCCTCCTCCCGGTGGGACGTGCCCGGAAYACCTCACCAGGGAGGCGTCCAGGAGGCATCCTTACCAGATGCCCGAGCCACCTCAACTGGCTCCTCTCGACGTGGAGGAGCAGCGGCTCTACTCTGAGTCCCTCCCGGATGACCGAGCTTCTCACCCTATCTCTAAGGGAGAGCCCAGCCACCCTGCGGAGGAAACCCATTTTGGCCGCTTGTATCTGGGACCTCGTTCTTTCGGTCATGACCCAAAGCTCATGACCATAGATGAGGGTAGGAACGTAGATCGACCGGTAAATCGAGAGCTTCGCTTTCTGACTCAGCTCTCTCTTCACCACACAGTTTCACAGATATTGAAATTAAATTTGGTGTGGCAATAGAAAAGAGTCATCCTCAACACACCTCCTTGTTGAAATCTATGGCATTCAATTCAAATTCAAAAATACTTTGATCCCAGAGGGAAATTAGGTACTGTTACCCCAACAGATGACGGCAGCTATGGCTGTAGCTTACCACCAGTGTGTGAATGTGCATGTGAATGACTGAAGTGTAAAGCTGTACGCAGTATATGCTTTATTATTTGTATGGTTAAAATAACACCACCCACCACAATAAAATCTCACAGAAGGAATGCGTCCATGTGCGTCGCAATTCTAAATGGGAGGGGGTGAGATCAGGACTTAATCAGGGTGGTAAAAAATGTTAAATGGTGCCTGTTATGATGTTCAAGCCCTAGCATTGGGGTACGATTCCAGGGGATAGGTGACCAACGGGGTACATTGTCTGTGTGAGTGTCCAGTGGGTAAATGTCTGGGGGGTAAGTGTCTTAGAACCCTTCTGTTTGTGATGTTAATGGAGTGTCCATTAAATATATTAAAATACACCTTTGGTTGATGTTAAGAAGTTCCTCAAGTCACTAACATACAAACTTTGGTTTAGCTTTTTAACTTTTAAGCAGGAGATAATAATAAACTATTTGTAAAAAGAAAATTGACACATGTACACAACTAAATCAAACATTCTGAAGCTTCTTGATTTGCTAAAATATAGGTAAATAAGAAAACATTACTTAGATAAAAAGAAACAGATGGTATTCACGTAATTAAGAACATCTTGAGCAATTAGCCCTGAGCTTAAACATGAAAACGAATGGTTTTCTTTTACAAGAAACAGTTCTTAAAGGAGTTTGCCTCCCAGAACGTAGATTTCACAGAGATAAACAGTGTTGGGATCTAGAGTTTGTCAGTTCCAGTATTCATCCACTAAATGTCCTCCTGGAGCACAGCCTGCAGGAGGGCAGAATCTCCAGCAGGTGTGCAAGTCCCACACCTGCAATTCATCTACCTTCATCAAGAGGAGGATAAGAGGAGGATAAGAGGAGTGTGCAGTCAGCCCTTCGATGCCTGAGTGTTAATTCTTGTGGTAACCTCAAGCCCTTAGAGTACTCTCTGAGGTTTTCTCTAAATTCTCTTGTGCCTAGACCTTTGAGATAACCTTCTCCTGTTTGTGTTCCTAAAAGGTTACCTCCATTTATGGTTTGGACCGGTTCCTCTGAGGTCCTCCAACCTTAAAAATCATCTCCATCTCTCTGTGTTTTTTGGACTCCTCCACCCACAGCTGCCATCGCAGGACTCCTCTCTCTCCTCAAGGACGTAACCTGTCTGCCCTCCAACCTGCTCATCATTCCTTGGCTCACGGACTCAACCCCTCGGATCCCACTCACCTCTCCCTGGCCGACCTGCTTCATCTTCATGGTAAACTAAGCTCATATTCTTCTGTATTTACAATATACACCTTCCTGGTCTCATCACCTCTCGTCCTCCACCAGTGTTCCTGACTCCCCTGCCCTGCGTCTGCAAGACCACGTTGGACCAAGATCACTTTCATTTAAAATAAACATCTTAAAACTTTGTTGCTGAGTGTTTGCATGTGGGTCAAGAAACTTTCTAAAACCATGACAAACGGTCTCTCACCTTATGAGGGTGGTGCCAGGTTCTTCTTCCTGGTGGGGTCCCTTTACAGTGTTTGAAGAGGATTTTTTTCTTTCAGGAATGTGGCCTGTTAGGTTGTAAACGGTGTCCTGGTTGTTTTTAGGATCTTGTCATAAAGGTTTCAGTGTGTAGAATAAAGTAGTTATTGATGAAATGACTGTAGACCCTACACAGGTTTCTCACGGCATGTGTTGTCTCATTTAAAGCGCTCAGCCCTTCCAGATGGCTGGATATGGAAACCAGTGACCCACGCAACCCTGAAAAGGAAGAAGTGTACAGAAAATGGATGGATGGATCCCTTCCAGATGGCGAACCTTGATTTCTAACACTGCTACCTTCTGGAGAAGCTGGCTGAAATTCTCTTTGGAAAAAAGAGGCATCTCGAAAGCTTCGCTATCCCTGGCCTCGGCAGGTTATGTCTCAGAGCACTCTCAGTTTCTTCGACAGCAGTCAAAAATCAAATGTTACCCTGCTATTCAAGGTCATCCAATCATGTCGGGGTCACCATTTGTAAGAAACAATCAGAAATTGGAAGCCAGAATAACTGCAAAGAAAACCAAATCTCAGTTTAAAAGCTTTATTCCTCAGATCTAAAAACTCCACTTCATTGCTCAGTCAACCCAGTGTCTGTCTGACCCTGAGCTTATCAGCAACTAAAACAATGGCTTCTCCCCACTGATGTTGGAACCCACACCCATGAACGGGGATAGTCAATTCTGGTCCTCAAGGTCCTAAGCCCTGCACGTTTTCCTTGTTTCTCTGCTCCAACACACCTGATTTGAATGAGTGGATGATTTTCAGGCTTCTGTAGAACTTGGAAGAGGTAATTCACTGACTGAATCAGGTGTGTTAGAGAAGGGAAAAAAAGGTAAAACGTGCAGGGCTGTGGACCTCGAGGACCAGGATTGACTATCCCTGCCCTAGAAGATTATGTTTAACATAAATCCAAAACTTCCTGGTGACTCCTCTGGGGCATTATGCTTTGAGTGTCAAGAGCATCAGGTTTTTAAGTCTATGGTGGACGTGCGTCTAGGGGAGTTGAAACCTTGCAGCACATCTAGCGAGTTTTGAAGCAGTAGGTGCCGACGCTGGAGTTGAAAAATCTGAACTTTTGCTGCTCAGTGTGGCGCATCAATCAAAAGAGACTCTGCTCTGTGACGTAGTGGCGCATTTTCCAACAAGACTGTTTCCTGAATGATGTCCACTAACCTGAGACAGATGGACAGGAGCTCTTCAGGAGCTATTTAACCGAAGTCAAGTGCCTGTAGTCGTTGTCCTGGCAGGAGATATCAGCACTTATGTGAGTCAGCGGCTCAAACTCAGGACAATAATAGTTGTGAAAGTGAGCCAGCTCCTGGGTGGTGAAACTCACCAAACTCAGAACGCCCCTGAATTATCTGGTGAATTAATTATGAATTAAGAATTCATTTTTCTTTTTAAAAAAAACAACATAAATTCAACATACAACAAAAATGCAAATCATAAATTAAATGAAAGGTAGCAGAAGATAAAATCTTATTTTATCTGCGCCTTTTTCTCAAATAACTAATTTCAATCAAAAATAATCTTTAGTTTATTAAGAAAGAAAAAAGAAAAAAATACAAAGGTTTAACTCCTTGAACAACAATTCATACATTTACATATTTCTCCAGCAAAATTNTAGTTTATTAAGAAAGAAAAAAGAAAAAAATACAAAGGTTTAACTCCTTGAACAACAATTCATACATTTACATATTTCTCCAGCAAAATTTTCTTGATCATTCTCATAAATATCGGTGAGCGCGACGTTCTCTTGCTCTCAGTAAATAAAGCAAAGCCACTTTCTTTACTTCATTCGCCATTAAACAGAGACCAGAGGAAAACAATAGGATCTTCCCGAGGTGCGTGATGTGCGCCTAGCAGTTTGAACGAGCGTCCAACTTGAGGTGTTGGGCATGTTTTTGATGCTCAATCCGCTTTGGATTTGAACCTAGCACTACATTTTATGTCAACACTGTTACATTCATATGTCAACAAGTCCTTTTTTATTCCACTGAGGAGGGACGCATTACATAGAAACATACAGATTGTCTTCCTGTTTCAAGTAAATGGCTATAATTAATCATAAAGTGTATTAAAATTCAGTTTATCAAATAATATTTCCTTCAGATGCACTGTTCTGCTCAGAAAGAAAAGTCATTCAGTGTTGAGATTGTAACAGAAAAAAGTGATCCGAGAGGGAATTTTGACGTGAATTTTGAGTGATGCCCGACTACAGGAAATACAGAAAAGCTCAGATGAAACGTTAGCTGGAGGGTCAAGGTCTTTGACAGTCTGAACAAAGAGAAAAAAAATGAGAAAGTTTTGGGCTGCAGAGGCAGCAGTGAGCACCCCCTGCTGACCATTAGAGTCACCAGCATAACTTTACTGGGAGTGCACATTTCAGAGAACATTACCTGTGGTTATAAAACGAATTAATTAATTAATAATCCAGCAATGCCTTTGTTTTCAGACTCAAATACAGTAGACCAAATCACCAGCCACCATCATGACAATGTTCGACAGAAGGACAACAGAAAACATCCTAACCCATGGATTTGGTACGACAGCTGCTCTGCTGCAAACTGAAAAGTCCCGCTAAGAACAATAAGGGCATCAGCGAAGATAAAGAGCACCCCGCCTCCCCCTTAGATTTTACTGTGTTTTCCCCCTCAGGCCATCAGGACAGTGAACTCCCTTCACAAGCTGCCCTCATCCTTCCTGTTCTTTTTTCATAAAGAACATTATCTCGCTTTCGCATACACTGATAGAAGTGACAATAAAGTAAACTTTGGACATTTTTAGTGGTGTCACAAAAATGAAACTTCCACAAACTTAATAAAAGTGTGTTAATAAACTGTCACCCTCTGCCTCATATGGAGAACTTGTTCACAAAAAATGTTTTGTGTCAAACTTTATAGCCAGATGGATTTATGCCCATCTTACCACCAACTGCCTCCAAATCATGATAGCTGCAGTTAGGAGGAACTTGTTCAGTTCATGAGTTTTAAAAATCTGCCTTCTGAAAACTGTTTTTACATTATGCATGCCTTTCCAAACATTTGCCAAAAAAAACAGAGCAATTTGGACGATGGGCACTTCAGAAAATATTACAACGAACACCTACAAGCTGTTCTCATGACTGAAAGAGTTGGACCTACAAGTCCACTTCAACAAAAGCACAATTGATTAGTCATTCCAGGGACCTGTCCTCTTTCAGAAGAGCCTGCGCCCTAGGTCCAGGTCGGCTGACTGCCATCGCTGAAGTTTCTACACCAAAAGATGTGGTGATATGATGAGCCGGTTCTTGGCATAGGCGAACTAGGCGGTTGCCTAGAGCGCCATCTGCTGGAGGGGGCGCCGAACTGCAGAAGAAAAAAGTAATTATTTGCAATCCATGGTTGTAGCTCTGCTAAGTGCCCCCTTTCAATTAGCGTTGTCTTAAAAAACTATAATGAAGTTCAAAACTTATTTCTACTGGCAGAACAGGTTGGAAGATGGCCATTTAATGTGATTTATTGTTTTTTAAATCATCCTACAGGCTGTAACATCCATCCATCCATCCATTTTCTGTACACGCTTCTTCCTTTTCAGGGTCACGTGGGTCACTGGTGCCCATATCCAGCAGTCACATTGCGAAGGGGCGGGGTACACCCTGGACAGGTCGCAAGTCCATCACAGGGCCACACATAGAGACAAAAACCAATCACTCTCTCACTCACACCTAGGGACAATTTAGAGTTATCACTTAATCTAACAGTCATGTTTTTGGTCTGTGGGAGGAAGCTGGAGTACCTGGAGAGAACCCACGCATGCACAGAGAGAACATGCAAACTCTACCCAGAAGGGTCCCCAGACTGGGATTTAAACTGGTGACCTTCTTGCTGAGAGGCATCAGCTCTACCAACTGAGCCACCGTGCCGCCCAGGCTGTAACATGTTAGATAAATTTGAAAATGAGGTTTTGAAAAAATCTGTAAGATTAGAAAAAAATCCATAAGATTGCTCTATACGTCCGTATACCTGAAAAATGATGTAAAATCCTTCTAACTTATGGGCAATCCGTACAAGTTGACATATACAGTTTGTTGTTATTTATTTGCTTTCTGGGAGAGCAAATAAATCTAAGTTTACCATAGCACCTTACACTGTCAAAGTTGTTTTTAGGGGTTCAAATTGGGGTGGGTGGGACATGGTTCCTGGGGGGGTCGCGCTTCAATTCGCCTAGGGCACCAAAATGGCTAGAGCCAGCACTGGTGATATGTTCTTGAATCAAAACGATTCCTGAAGCCTCACCTATATCAATCTGCTTTTCTTCAAGGAATGTCTTTTCCTTTTAATTCAAAGCTGCTACAACTTTGTTGTTTTAATGCTTACTGCACAGTATGTGTTTCAGTTTGAAATATGGAGCACAGAAAATGGCAATTATCTCCTCAAGGGCGGTAAAATCTAATTGCTGCCTCACTATCAGTTACCCATAATTCCCTGTCCTTTGTAACTGGTTTGTTAGGACAGAAACAGAAACATAATGTAATGAAATAAAGCTATGAAATCCACAGGCAGCCCACAGAGGAGAAACGGTGTCAGAACATCAACTGCTTTTGTTTTTTCAAAAACACAATACTGCGTGAGAACAACACACCTCACCCCAGATAATCTGTCACAATATAAACTCTTCTCAGTCGGCAGGTGGCATTCACTACGTTTTCATACAATATCAAATTTCAAAATAATTTAGTCTAATAAGTATTTGTCAAGAATATAGAGGTATTTTTTTTTACTTTAGTTGCTAAAAACAAGCAATATGCAGCTGTCCCCTGATGTTGGAGGATTTGAAAAGTGAATGTTTGTAGTTTTCTAATTTAGTGTTTTTCCAAACTGAAAGTAAACACTGAATACAAGTTTGGTGCAAAATATTGAAGTGGGGAGGAGTAAACTGTGTATGAGAACAATAGGCTTTTATTTTTCTTGTCTGAGATGGCAGACTGGTGGATCCTGTCAAGTGGAGGGAGCAATTTTATCCAAAACAAGATGGAACTCAATGCCAATCACTGATGTCCCTTTTGACGGAGGTACGGAGAACATTTTTTTTGTCCGCCTTAGGCGACAGGTGCAATCTCAGAGCCAGTGGGTGGCCAATGGGGGCCTTTGCCTCCCCCTGGCTTAATTTTAGGCCACCCCGATCATTTGAGGAATTTATACAGCGGGTAAAATAAGTATTGAACACGTCACCATTTTTCTCAGTAAATATATTACTAGAGGTGCTAATGACATGAACTTTTCACCAGATGTTGGTAACAACCCAAGTGATCCATACATACAAAGAAATCAAACCATAAATGTCCAGAAATGAAGTTATTTGTAATAATGTGGAATGGCACAGGGAAAAAGTATTGAACACATGAAGAAAGGGAGGTGTAAAAAGGCATGGAAAGCCAAGACACCAGCTGAACTCTCTCAGTAATTAGAAAGCAAGCCTGCCCCTTGTCAGTGCAAGTTAATATCAGCTGGTTCAGTCCCAAATGATGGCCAGGTATCACACAAGAACCATCTGATGATGGGTAAAAGTAAAGAGCTCTCTCAAGACCTTCACAACCTTATTGTTACAAAGCATAATGATGGCATCGGTTACAGAAGAATGTCTAAACTTCTGAAGGTTCCAGTGAGCACTGTTGGGGCCATAATTCAGAAGTGGAAAGTGGAGAGCTTCAGAAAGACCTGGAATTAGCAGGTACGATTGTTTCAAAGAAAACAAGTAATGCACTGAACCACCATGGCCTGTATGCACGCTCACCACACAAGACTCCACTACTGAAGAAACAGCATGTTGAAGCTCCTTTAAAGTTTGCTGCACAACATTTAGACAAGCCTGTGAAATACTGGGAGAATATAGTCTGGTCAGATGAGACCAACACTGAACTGTTTGACACTTCGAATCTTGAATGTTTCTACCTGACTGCTGCTTAAAGTTAACCCCATTCAAGAGGACCACCACAATCTAAGCAATCTAACACAAAATCTTGCATTAGATTGCACAAACTAGGATATATTCAACAGTAGAATACAAAATGATGGCAACAGCTATGTCAAAAAATAAACATCACATCAGGTCAAAAGGGAGAAAAAAACAAGAGAACAGCAAAAATGACTATATTACTAGACCCAGGTTATTCAGGAGTTTCACTTTATCAGAGAACATTACTCAAGGTGCAAAAACAATCACAGTTTAAAACTTTATTGTGTGATACAGTACATAGTTCACTCTCTTCTGGCTTGCACTTCCTTTCACTTCCTTTTTGGGAAAATTGCTTGAGGACGTGAATCTTTTCAAATCAATGTTTTAAACACAGTGGTACCAAATAAGATATGCTTGTTGTTTTATCTGTGTGTTGATCGAGTCAGAGCGAGTTTTTCATCTTTTCTGAACTTAGACAACCCTAACCGCTGGAAACTTGCCGCTGCCTTCCCCCCAAACACTAAATGATAGCCGTCTTGTCCAATCAGCGCTCAGGAAAAGGCTTGGCTCCGCCTCCTTTTGGCTCCTCGAGCCGCATGGACTAATCAGCGTTCACCTCCGTCTGTTCAGCCATTTTGTAAGAAAATCAAGCAAGTCTGCCGCCCTACCTTCGCTCCAGACCTGCAGTTTTTTTCTTGTGCAATGGACGGGTAAGTGAAAAGAACCGAACTTAAAACTTACATTTTAAAGAAAAAAACTGCTTTTGAAGTAAATTCGTGTCTTTGTGCGGGTTGTTTATTTTAATGTCGTCACTTCTAAGGTAGCTTCGATGTAACTTATCCGGGAAACTTAAGTGGGAACAGTTTTTTTTTTCCTCCTCAAAACACGCAACAGTTAGCAGGAGCGTACGCTAACTAGCAGCAGCTAGCCGCGATAGCGTCACTTCTTTCCTTTACAAGTTGTGCGAAATGTTGGAGTTATTTTTTAAGCTCGATAAACAACTAATCATAACCGAACCAACTCGATGTTAGTCCGTCATGTGTTTTTACGTTTGTTTTATCGACAGCTCGGTGCTCTCTGTCAAACAAAGAACAGTAGTTTACGCTGGCTAACCCTACCTTTTTGTAACTTGGGTTTTCACGGGAGCTCGAGCGCAGAGCTAAAGCAACGTGTCTTATTTCCGCATTCATTTTGTCCGCGGAGTGCCAGGGCCGTGTTTGAAGATGTCCGGCCTGAACATTTCACGTTGATTCAATCAGAAACCTCTGTACCGAGTTTATCTTATCCGGGATGAATGTTTAATAGCGCGTTGTTTACTTCGGATGAGCTTTTCGAGTTCGATCGCACGATTTCAATCCGGTTGAAGCGTCTCGAAGGCAGCCTTGTTCTGAACTCTCACACTGTAAGGTTTGTGCCATTTTTACTTTGTTCAGGTGACCTGATCTGACTGTTTTTAAGGTGTGTATACTTGTTTGTTTCAGCCGCCTAGACGCCACTGAGTTGTACCCTCTGGGATCCGGCTACGTCCCTGAAATCGAGTAAGTATTTCAACATAATCTGCAGGTCAATTCAGTCGTGTTGGTTTCTGCTTGCCTTTGTTTTACCCCCCAAAAAAAGCCTTTCGTTTCCATTTTGTAATTATGAATTTTTCTCATTTACAGCAGTGTCCATGATATATCAGTTGGCACAAAGGTAGGCAAATTCTGTTGGTTTTCACCCTACTCAGTCTAATTTGACTGCTTACTTACAGAGTAAATACTATTTATTTGTCTCCTCGGGTTTTGTACCTTCACTCACAGATTACACGTGGTTCAGTGTTTTGTAATCTTTAAAAACTTTTTTGTGTAGAGTTTACTTGTTGTTTAAAGCTGTACCTTTCTGCTCTTGTAAAATGCAGAGGCAAAAAAGGAAAGAGCTGTAGTCTCAGTTCAACCAGAGCTTCCTCTATAATTACAGAACTGCTCGCCAAAACGGTTGCTCGTGTGCAGCGAGCATGCTGTCGCAGATAGGGCTGTCTTTTTAAACATTTCTGATACATGTTCAGAGCTTACAGCCTTGCTCGAGACTGTAAACACTATGTTTGATAATTCAGTTAAAATGGATTTTCTGTGGCGGGGCTGCCATGTTTCCTGTGTCGTGTCTGTTTGCCTGCGCGGCTGATGACATGACACTTCCTGTTGTTTTGTGTGTTCCTCGGTGGTTCACTAACCTTACTGGAATGTTGAAAGGGATTTTTGCAGGGGTAGACATAAGGAAATTTTTCAGGTTGTCCAGACCTGGTTGTCCAAAAGAATGCCACGAAAAATGTAATTTAACAAGTATATTGTTCTGTAGACAGTTTATTATATATAATTGTTCTCAGTCAGCAGGTCGACAGGATCTGTGTGAATAAAACTTCCTCATTCTCTTCTTTGATATTGAGTATTTAAGGCTCGGAGTAAAGCAGCAAAAATGTTGCTAATAAAATCTAGACGTTACCCGACATTCATAAACTTCTTTCTGCTCATAGGTCAAACATTTTCACTTAAATATTAGTAAACTATCAAAAAGAAAAAAAATAGTATAGGTCTTCTGGACGGGTTCTTCTCTAATGAAACGTTTCGTCTCTCCTCCAAGAGACTTCTTCAGTCTGAGAGTTTCAGGCAAAATTCAGGCTTTTAAGCACTGCCTTCATGTGACTGATACTCACATCACATGGCTATTGTTGACACCTAATTAACACCTATTGTTAACAGGGGTGGAGTGATACTGGCAATAGCAGCACTGTAGGAGGGGGACAACTGAAAACGGAGGCCTCCACCTCTGTTTAATGATGGACGGTCTTTCTTCACAAAAATGGCTTCTTTTACTCCTCTCTCAAACCAACTTTCCTCTATCAAGAATGAGAACATCCTCATCTCTGACAGAGTGACCGCTGGCCTGTAAATGAGTGAAAACTGCAGAGTTCTGGCCATTAGATGTAGCTCGTCTGTGTTGGGACATTCTTTTGAACAGTGGCTGCTTTGTTTCCCCGATGTATAACTGGTCGCAGTCCTCCTGGCACTTAACAGCATATACAACATTACTCTGTTTGTGCCGGGGCACCGGATCTTTGGGGTGAACCAGCCTTTGCCGTAATGTGTTTTGGGGTTTGAAAGACACTGTGACATCATGTTTAGAAAATAAACATCTCAGTTTCTCTGAAACACCCGCAACATACGGAATAACCACTGGTTTGGGTCAACGATAGCCATGTGATGTGAGTATCAGTCACATGGAGGCAGTGCTTAAAAGCCTGAATTTTGCCTGAAACTCTCAGACTGAAGAAGTCTCTTGGAGGAGAGACGAAACGTTTCATTAGAGAAGAACCCGTCCAGAAGACCTATACAATTTTTTTCTTTTTGATTTTTTTACCTGGATTACTGAGAAGCATCAGGACATTAGTAAACTGTGTACATGACCTTATTAAAAGTTACAGTTTAGTGTTCTGTTCGGTTTTACCAAGTTTTTTCTCCCTTTCATTTTTACAAATGACGGACACCCGCGGCAGACAACTTTAATCAAGGTCTTTTATTGGTTGTCCACCGGACAACCAGTAGACCGGATCTGGTTGTCCGAAATGAAAATAGGTTGTCTCGGACAACCTAAACAATGGTTATGTCTACCCCTGTTTATGCCTCTTGCTACTTTTACGATTTGTTTTAATCACAAATTTAATCAAAATTAGATTTTTAGAACATCTAGAATAAATAATCACGTTTTAAATAAGCCCAACTTTTAGCATGGTTTTATAATTTCCCTTATAGAGCGTACTCGTCAGTGCTATCTTAACTAACAAGCACGTCGTTTTTTCCACAACACTTTTATTGGAGGTTTTACCCAATAAAAATTCTTTCCTAAGTAGTAACCCTTGGTAACAGGACCTGAGGCAGTTATGGACTAATTGATCACAACTCTGTAAATTTCCTCCCACAACTGTTCTCGGCCTTGTGGTCAAAGGTCTTAATAATGTTGTAGCGAGCTCTGTGGTGAACACGCCTGTCACACCACGCCTTCTCCATTCATTTCAGTCAGACCTGTTTTCCATTCTATAGTAACAATGAAGTGTTTGATCTCAGGCGATACTCGGGGTTTCACTTTTGTATTTTCTTCAAGTTTCCCTGTTTTGTAAAGTTTAATCTGCTGCGGTAATGATGATGATAAGTTATGGAGCCCTGCCTTGCTGGAATCTGTAATTATTCTGTCTGGGCAGAGCGTCTGGCATTCCGTGGTCACATTCCAATCTCCCCTCCTCCAGCCCCCCCAGTCGAGGCGCAGATCTCTCTCTCTCTCTCCCCACCCCCGTCGATGAAGGTCGATCATAACCTGCGATCGTGTCTGTACCTGTTCTTGTTTCCTATGTGGGTTTCCTGGAAGTTGGCACACCGCAGCGTGTCCCACTCAACAAATAAAAAAGATGTTTGAGACACTTTAATCTTCTGTTAAAAGAAACAACTCAACAGTTTTAGTGTATGAGTCAACTTTGTGTCAGCGTTTCCTGAAGGTTATAATGTCAGCATCTTGCTCAAGCAAAATAAACAAGTTTATGCATGTTTTAATGTCTTGAATGAAAAGTTTACGACTGACAAAATGCTCCATCCTGCAGTGTGTTTGTAGCTTTTCTGCTAAAAGTCATTATCTTAATTTCGTACTTGCACAATTCTCTGGTTTTGCAAGACTTTATTTTAGATCTGAAGTTATTAATTAAAGGAAGAAGACAAGAATGATAAAGTCCAGCCCACAGTCTCCCGCCTGAGGAAGTTTAGCAAACTCTGGAAACAACTCTGATCTCACTGCTCTTCCTGTTTGAAGTTAGTCTGCTGACTGATAAAGGAACATAACTCTAAAGTCAAACTGGGGTTGGTTTTCCGATTTTAGTTTTTTTTTTTTTTCCCATGACCTCCATCTGTCCATTGTTCATTTTAATATTTTCTTTAGGTTTATTTTTACACATTCCTCTCACACAGTGAGGTGATTTGTAGATGATTATTGATCAAGGTATTTGACTCAAATTGTCTGTCTTGCTACTCAAAAGTATAAAAATATCCTTATTAGTGCTCATTAAATATTAATCTCTTATTAAATTTGGTAACTTGGTTTTATCTGCCTTTTTCTGAGCAGGCTGTAATTTTCTGCCTGCCTGCATATTTAGATTAGCAAGGTAAGGAAGAATGCTAGCAAACCTGCTTTGGTGGTTATTTTAAAAGAGGTGTTTGTTTTTCAACTACTAGAGTCTGATTGTGGCGCCATATGTGTGCGCTGCTGTGTGACAATGCCTCCAGTCTGAGCCTGAACAGGACTTTTATTGTAGAGTGCTGTAGAGCTTAGACTGCTGAGCCACTTCTTGTGACTTCGGCACTTCATCGTTTGCAAACACACTGAACCACGAGAACAGCGCTGAAACAGCACTTTAGATAAACTGAAGGGCGAGTTTGGACAAGACACAATAATCTAGTGTTGACTGGGGGGGATTCCCATCTTGTATTTTAGAGCACTTGTGTATTTAACTTTACTCTTAAATGAAAAGAAGTGATGTACTGACAGCTGTTAGGCTGAAGTGAGCCATCCTGTGAGAGTGAAGTAAAAGTGCATATATTGTCTGAAGCTTAAAAGCACGTGATTGCTTTTATTTAATTTTTAAAAATTGATGCTGGTAAAGACTGCAGTGAGATGAAAATTTGAATATATCTTTTAACAAATTAGGTCACTGACTTCTTCCTGGTAAGAAAGGAGGAGTTCTGAAATGTTGGCTAAATCCTCTGGTTATCACGTTACTTCCTGCTTTATCACACAAAGGCTCAGTAATATGAGAACAGTGCTCTTTACCTGCCATGCTGTTCCTTCATTAGTGAGCACAGTGACATGAGCCCTTTTTTTTCTGCAGAGGGGATCGGACGAACTCTTTTCTTCCTGCATATCCAACGGACCCTATATCATGAACTCAGGTAGGGGGGTTGCTATGGAGGGGCTGGATCCTTTCTATTGAAGGGCTTGGTGTGTCTGTCTTGTTTGTGTTGCCACGGCAATCAATCCATTATTCACAAAGACCCAGAGCCTAATGTTCCCTCCCTGATTGTATCAGCTTCTGTTTTCTCTTGCAGCCAATGGCAACGACAGCAAAAAATTCAAAGGTGATGTCCGCAGTCCTGGTGTCCCGTCACGTGTGGTTCATGTACGCAAGCTGCCCAACGACATCAACGAGGCTGAGGTTATAAGCCTGGGACTGCCGTTTGGGAAGGTCACTAATCTGCTGATGTTGAAAGGGAAAAATCAGGTGAGGAATTTTTTTTAATGCAGGTTTGTTTTTTCCAAAAGACAGTTATAAGATACAGCATCAAGTCTGACCTTAAACAAGATGTTGATTCTTTGGTTTCATTAGATGAGTAGATGAGCAATTCTCCATGCTAAAGGAGCTTCTGTTAGTTGTGTTAAGTTAAAATGTTCATAGTAGTGATAACGTTTATAAGGAACTGTTTAATAAATTGTCGTGGGTTGAACAGTTTTATATTTGCCTATTCTGTGCGATGCCAGAGATGAACTAAACCTCTCTGGTCTGCCCCCTGCAGGCCTTCTTGGAACTGAACAGTGAGGAGTGTGCACAGACCATGGTGAGCTACTACTCCTCTGTCACCCCCGTCATCAGAAACCACCCCATTTACATGCAGTACTCGACTCACAAAGAGCTCAAGACGGACAACTCCCCTAACCAAGTGGTACGAGTTTTTCTTGTAGACTCTTTGCTTTTGATTCATTTTTCACTTTTGGGGTTATATCCGGATTCTTGGAGCTCAAAATTGAACTAGATCTTTTTCCTCCCTGCTGGGGTGGTTTTTTTTTTTTTTTTGCACATACTGTCTTACAGTTTTTCATCATTCAGTATACCATAATTTTCTGTGTATTTGTCTCTCCTCAGCGTGCTCAGGCAGCTCTGCAGGCAGTTAATGCCCTGCATGGAGGAGGAATGGGAAGCGTGGCCATTTCTTCAGATCCTAGTAGCATGGCAGGAGCAGGGGCCCAAAGTCCCGTACTCAGAGTCATCGTGGAAAACCTGTTCTACCCCGTCACCCTGGATGTTCTACACCAGGTACAGACAGCCACAGGAGTTTTGACACAAACGTCTTAAACATTTATTAGTACTTGTTGTTGTTGTTTTCAGTTGTGTTACAGCCTCTTCAGTAGGTTGGTGATATGTGGGAAAATTGACTGTAAATCAGTAAGCAGTGCTATACAGTAGTCTAAATATTGTTTTAAGTTCCTCCTGTTTTTTCAGAACCTTAAATTGTGACCTGAACATCATGATTACAGATGTTTCACTTGAGTCATATTAGTGGTTGTGCTCTGTAATGTTTTTCAGGTGATGGTCGGTTTATGAAATTGTGCATTCAAATCACTGGCCTTTCTGTTAGGAGCTGCTGCAGCAGTAGTTACTTTCTAAACAGGCTCATAAACACTTGTCCTGATGTTTCCATGATCATAAACACAGCTGTAGTCACATGACCCTCAGACAGGCTCAGAATGTTCCTGTAAGCAGTTGGGTCTGATTGTATGCTGAGTGTTTTCAGCTTAAACATGGAGCTGTTCACTTTCCCTTCACCCACTTTGGGATTCGTTTATGGGTGAAGTAACTCTAGGTTCGGTTCAATAAACTCAGCGTCATGAAGCTGGTTCACCTTACCTGTGTCTGTTTGGCAGTTCTACGGTTTTTAGTCACAAATTGTCTCCAACGTTGTGGTCAAGTGAAATTCTGGATTTACAGAAACCCTAAAAGAGGTGAACATGCTTTGTGGTAAATGTCACGTATACTGACCCGTTTAAGCAGCTTTATACAGAACAGGGGTAGACATAACCATTGTTTAGGTTGTCCGAGACAACCTATTTTCATTTCGGACAACCAGATCCTGTCTCCTGGTTGTCCAAGAATAAAAGACCTTGATTAAAGTTGTCTGCCGCGGGTGTCCATCATTTTTACAAATGAAAGGGAGAAAAAACTTGGTAAATCTGAACAGAACAATAAACTGTAACTTTTAATAAGGTCATGTACACAGGATACTCCTATTAAAGTGAAAAATGTTTGACCTATGAGCAGAAAGAAGTTTATGAATGTCGGGTAACCTCTAGATTTTATTAGCAACATTTTTGCTGCTTTACTCCCTGAGCCTTAAATACTCAATATCAAAGAAGAGAATGAGGAAGTTTTATTCAAACAGATCCTGTCGACCTGCTGACTGAGAACAATTGTATTTAATAAACTTCGCCTACAGAACAATATACTTGTTAAATTACATTTTTCTTGACATTATTTTGGACAACCAAAATGTTTTACGGACAACCAGGTTTTGGCAACAGGTTGTCCGCTGGACAACCTGAAAAATATCCTTATGTCTACCCCTGCAGAATAAGATGTTGAAATGAAGCCCCAAATGTTTATTGAGTTTATTTTGTGCTCACTTACCACCTTGTTATTGGTTTTTATGTTCTTTGTACTTTTGACCTGTCAGAAAAGTGCAAGAATTTGCATTTYGCACTATTGGATCTTAAGAAGGTTCTAAGTAGAGCTTCACAATGTTAAAAGAAGAAATCAGTGCAAGAGACAAGAACTTTTGAGCAGGGAATTTTCTGAAAACTGCATTTACTCTCAAACACGTTTTTTTTTCAGCTGATCAAAAGTTTAAGACCATAGCTCAAAAAAAACCCTGAAAACCCCCCAAAACAGAAATCAAAGTGTCAAAAAAAGGACTCAGTAATGAGTAGCTCCACCATTCTTGTTGATGACTTCAAACAATGGTTTAGACATGCTTGATGCCAGTGTTTCCAGGAGGCTAGTGGGAACGTTGCTCCAAGTGTTGAATATGGCTTCATGAAGGGCATCCACTGTCTGGAACTGATGTCCATTTTTGTAAACTTCCCTTGCCATCCATCCCCAAATGTTCTCAGTTGGGTTTAGATCCGGGGAACATGCAGGATGGTCCAACAGAGTGATGTTATTCTCTTGGAAGAACTCCTTTGTCAGGCGGGCATTGTGAACTGCAGCATTGTCCTGTTGAAAAACCCAATCATTACCACACAGACGAGGGCCCTCAGTCATGAGGGATGCCCGCTGCAACATCTCCACATAGCCAGCTGCTGTTTGATGTCCCTGCACAACCTGAAGCTCCATTGTTCCATTGAAGGAAAACACACCCCAAATCATGATGGCGCCCCCACCACTGTGCCATGTAGAAAACATCTCAGGTGGGATCTCCTTGTCATGCCAGTCACGTTGGAAGCCATCAGGACCATCAAGGTTAAAATTTTTCTCATCAGAGAAGACAACTTTCTTCAATGTCCCATGTTTGGTGCACCCTTGCAAAGTCCAAACGGGCAATTTTGTGGCGTTGAAGAAGACGTGGCCTTTGAAGACGTTTTTTGTTTCTGAAGCCCTTCTCTCACAGATGCCGTCTGATGGTTATTGGGCTCAAGTGTTTTTGTTGTTTTTTATGCAACTGCTCCACATTACTTTTCTTATGTAAAATTTGAAACCAGGGTTTGTTCAATGGCAGAGGTAAAAAGAGGCAACATTTTGAAAAGGCTGACGTGTACACAGTTTGACATCCTGCTCCACCACCCACTTAGTTGCTATAAATATGCTTAGAGATGTATGTTTATTTGACTTTCCCTCTTTATAGAGCAACAGCCAAGAAATGTGACTTGAAAAATCTTAAAGCATTTCATAGACGTATCTTTGTTTCTGGAAAAAGTCTGATCTCAAAACAGTACAGAACTGTCTTGCTGGGCTTTAGTGATGGGGAATGTAGTTTGTAACATTTGTCATTGTTTTGTTTGCCGTCTTGTCTCTTTCCTCCAGATCTTTTCAAAGTTTGGGACAGTGCTCAAAATCATCACTTTCACCAAGAACAACCAGTTTCAGGCTTTGATCCAGTATGCTGACGCCATGACTGCTCAACACGCTAAACTGGTAAAACTGGATTAGTTCAAAGGATTTGTCTAAGCTGTTTTTAAGTTTTTGGTACTGGTGGTGATAATGTGCCTAATTACTTTCTTGATTTGTAAGTTGTGGTTAAATGGTAAAGTTAACTTCACATACAGTAAACTAATGTGATGACAGGATTTCAGCAGCCTACTAGACTTAAATAGTTTTATTGTAATGAAGCCTAATGGTTGATTCTTGTTCAGTCTCTAGATAGCCAAAACATCTACAACGCTTGCTGTACCCTGAGAATCAGCTTCTCTAAGCTCACCAGCCTCAATGTGAAGTACAACAACGACAAGAGCAGAGACTACACCCGCCCAGATCTCCCCACTGCAGACTCCCAGCCCTCCATCGATCCTCAGGCCATGGCAGCTGCCGCCTTCAGTAAGACTGAAAGATTTTAGCAAGTTTTTGTAACTATTTAAGTTTTATCTTCTAAAATAGAGCTGCACCTATTAGTTGAAATAATTGAAGACGTCGATTATGTAAATTTGTCGATGCAGATTTTTTATTATTGATTCGCTGTATTACATAACCACCACGTGAATGTTCATGCAATTCCATTTCGGTACCTAAATGCATCATTGCGACTGTATTGGCATAAGAGTGGTGAGTTTTCCATGCTTGTCCTGAACGCAGCATCGCGCAAGAGCATAATGACGTCAGCAGCCACTGCTTCAGTTCAGTCTGAAGCTTGAAAACAAGCCTCGCAGCTCCTGGAGTAAAATTTACCGAACAGACCGCCTCTGAATTATCTGSTGGATTAATTATCTTGTRAACAYGAHGTTCACTTGCTCAAAGTAAATAAAGTACCGCCACTTTCTTTATTTCATCCGCCGTTAAACAGAGACCGGTGTTAGGTCGAGTCACGTTCCCCCATCAGACGGTTCCCCCAGCGTCTCAAACAACAGAGGAGCTTCCCGACACACGTCTGACCTAAAGAGCACAAGCAGCCAACAAGTGTTGGACGTGTTTTAATGTTCAAAACGTAGCTTAAATACCTTTTATTTATTTAACTCCATCCTCTTCTATTTGATTTAAACTTATTTGCCTTCCATGGACCTCCATCACACATTTTTCTAGTGGGGAAATGACATCAATAGAAACACGTGGAGCTGGATTTTAATTT